GGAGGAGGAGGAGGAGGAGGACTATAGCGTGTGGCTGATGCCCTTGTGGGTAGGCGTAATCCTGAGAGTCGGCTGGGGCACATGGGCTCTCCCATCCTTGGAGCGAGGGTGCAGAGACGGGAGGTGCAGTCTCGATCGATCCGAAGAACAAAAAACACAATAATCATTATTGCGGAGGTCCGCGCAGATTTCTTAGGTCGGCGGTGGGCCCCCTGGCGCCTCCGGCGCCGCCCCTGGCGCGCTCCGCGCGCAAGGTAGGGGAGCCCAGTGCCGATCCAAGAAATCCGTGCGGACCTCCGAGAAGTTACGCTTATGTTTCTTTTACTCCTCCAGAGGCACCGAGTCGGCACGATCGAAATCATTGCGGGAAGAATGGGCACGACGACCAACAGCAGATCTTGCCCATTTTGAAGAGGACTCGCTCACGGAACCGCCGCGGACGTTGTCCATTTGAGACAACAGATCGCCATCCCCAACAACGGCCGTTCTCGGCGTTGGACAACATATGCTCTTGGGCATCGTACCCATTCTTCCGCACCCGTGCCAAACTGGGGCCAGTATCTCCTCCCCTCCAGGGACCTCCCGTGCCACGGCTCTCCCTTTTGTGCTCTCTCTCTCTCTCTCATTCTCTCTCTCTCTCTCTCTCGCTTCTGCCCCCCTCCCCCCATTTTCCATGCCCCCGTTCTGCCTCCTCCTCTCCCGCCCTTTAGGGAGGAAGTCTTGGGGGGGGGGTCCGTGGTTCGGGGTGGTCCCTGCTCCCTCCCCCTTTCGGGGGGGGGGGGGGGCTCGTCAGACGGGGCTGGGACGAGGATAAATCAGGCCCACTCTCAGAGCGTTCCCGAACACTCTGAGAAGGCCGCGGCGCCCGGTACATCCTCCAGAGCCGCCAGCTCTCGGAGATTCTCGCTTCATCCTCACCCCATGTTATCCTCGCCCTGGCTTTGTCTCACCTCGCCTCGTCGTATTCTGCGCTCCCTCCTCCTCCTCCTCCTCCTCCTCTTCCTCCTCCTCATCCGCCTCCTCCTCTTCCTCCTCCTCCACCTCCGCCTCCTCCTCCGTCCCCTTCCACTCCTCCCCCTCCTCCTCCTCCTCCTCTTCCTCCTCCTCCTCCTCTTCCTCCTCCTCCTCCTTCTCCCCCTCCTCCTCCTCCTCCGTAGCCGTTTTGGCTCAAGTAGCCAGCTGCTGCGAGTTCTTCCATAGCCATCTTCACCCCGATGGGTGATCCTCTCCTCGCCGCCCTGCGAGTCATGGGCCGCAAACATGGGCTATCCGTGGGCAACTCTTCTATCTACGCCATTGCTGTCCATACTGCGGTCGCACTTCACGACGCGGCTCGCCTCGGCCACGCCAAGGGACATGACCACCCCGCCCTTGAACGCGATGCACAGCATGCTGCTCGTGGGCTACGCCTTCACCATGACCTCGAAGTTCACCATCATCTCCAACACCGCGACTCCCTAACAGACATAGTCGCGGACGCCTCCGAGTCGGGCCGCTTCTCTGCGCAGGAGTGCCAGCTCATGCGAGACATCGCCAAGAACCGCAATGCCAGCACACACAAGGCCTGGACCACCTCCATGAAGTACAAGCTCAAAGGTGCCCCGACCGTCGAGGCCTCTTCTCCGAGCCGCGGTAGCTCTCTCCAGCCTGGCTGGTCGGAGCCTCCGCTGCTTGCGCATGCAGGTTCTCCCTTCTGCGAGCGGGGCGAGCTGCTGACGAATGCCCACGTTGCCAACTCCGATCCGTTGGACTCCCAGCTGAAGGACGACACCGCTGGCAACCCCAAGCTGTCGGTCACCTCTGGCGGCGGACTTCTACATGCTGACGACGCTCCCCACGAATCCGCCATCATCGCCAAGCTGCGCGCGGAGGTCGTGAAGATGGCGTCCAAACTTACTGACAACGAGCTGCAACGACGGGAAGCCCAACGCGCCCTCGATGATCTCCGCCAGCAGGTCCAGGACCAGAACACCGCCTTCAAGCAGGGCATCGCCGAGGTCGTCGCCGCTGCCGAGCTCCAGTTCTCCCACATCGCGGACCAGCTGGTTCACGCTCATGCTGTGGCCAGGGACGCCGACGCCGCGCTGCCCTGCGCGCCCGCCTCCACCGACCTTGCGCTGAACCACACGCCGAAGCTGCACGCCGACCAGAAGGTTCTCCGGCCCGGCCAGAAGAGCTTGCACAACATCATCGCTGAGGCGCACAGCGTGAACACCAAGTTCGACGCCATCAACGTCAAGCGCAAGAACACCGCTTGCCCCAAGAATGCGAACGTCGATGCCGATCAGATGTTGACCAGCCTCCCCAACTTCTTCGACGAACTGTTCTGCGACGGCCTATGCTTCGCCGTGCTGGACGGCGATGCCGCGCGACCCCGCGCGCCCGCCTCCACCGACCCAGCGCTGAACAACACGCAGAAGAAGTAGACATCAACCAGCAGGCGCTCCTCCCCGACCAGAAGATCATGCACTCCATCATCGCCGCGGCGCGCAGCGTGAACGCCAAGTTCGACGCCAGGACCGCCAAGCAAGCACTCCGCCAGCCCCGCGCCTGTGAACGACTCGATCGACCAGATGCCGACCAGCCTCCCGAACTTCTTCGACGACCTGCTCTGCGACGGCCTGAGCCTCTCCAAGTTGGACGGTTCGCCAAACATGAACAACGACATCTCTCTGCTGGCCACTGCGGTGTCCCCGTCGCTGGTGGCCGAGCCCGCGCAGAACTCCGTCGACGACAACATGTACGACGTCTCCACTGCCAGCATGTCGGAAAAGTACGACGTCCCCATGGACGTGTGCAGCCACCTGGGTCCGTTCGTTGATGAATGCCACTGGTTCGAGGAGCTCAAGACCATAGCCGGATGTCTCGGCATCACCTTCGACGCCGACGACCTTTCTGCTTCAGGCGAAACACGGTCGCTGGGCGACTCTTGGGACGAGCATTTCGCCACCAGCGACTCCGAGAACGGCGACCTCCCTTCCTCCGACCGCCACTCTTCCGACAACAAGTACTACAGCTGCAGCGCCGCCCCGCCCGCCGCTCGCGCGCGCGGCCGCACTGTGGCCAGGCCCGAACGCACCTCCCCTCAGGTGACGCTCGCTCCTCCTAATACGACTACGATCCTCCGTCACTGCCTCATCCTCCTCAGCCGACGCCGCCCGCAGACGACCACCTCCGACGACCACTCGTCCTTCCGCCTTCCTCGTCCTCCTCGTCCTCCTCCTCTCTAGTCCTCCTCCTCGTCCTCCTCATCCTCCTCACCCGCCTCCTCACTTCCTAGGCCTCCTGATCCGCTGCGAAATCCATACCCCCTACCCTCCGAATCCTTCGCTCCGTCCTCCTCGTCCTTTTCCCTTCAGCCTACACTAGTTAGTCCTCAGACGCCTTTCATGCCTCTGCCCGCATCATCCTCATCTACGCCTTACTCCTCGCCCCCTCCTCTCGTTTCCTCTCCTCCTCCTCCTCCTCCTCCTCCCTCCTTCCTACCTCCTCGACTCCTCCTCCTCCTCCTCCCCCTCTTTCTCCGCCTCCTCCTCTCCTCTCCTCCTCCTTCTCCTCCTCTTCCTCCTCCTCCTCCTCCTCCTCGTTTCCTCTTTTTTATTCATCCCCCAAGGGTTCCCCCAAGAGGTTCCTCGAAGGCGGGGGGAGTACGCAATTCAATCGCTTGGTCAGGTTTGGTCGCAGTGTTTGGCCATATGATCGTTTCGAGGAGGCAGGAATCGTCGCTGGTTCGGTGTAAGCGCCTTCGACAAGAACAGAAAAGGGTCCATGCGAGAGCTCGCCTTCCAACGTTGTAGCCGTTACCGGCTTAAGCCACACGATGGGGACGAGGATGGAGGATGGACTCCCGCTCAGCCCACGCAGGAGAGCAGGACGCAGGGGCGAGGAACGCCCCAGTCGCCTGGAGGAAGGAGAGGGGGATGATGATGACGATGATGATGGTGATGGTGATGGTGGTGGTGGTGTGATGATGATGATGATGATGATGATGATGATGATGATGATAATGATGATTATGGTGATGATTATGGTGATGATGATGTTGATGATGATGCTGATGATGATGCTGATGATGACGATGATGATGGTGACGATGATGGTGATTAGGATGATGATGATTAGGATGATGATGATGATGATGATGATGGTGATGATGATGTTGATGATGATGCTGATGATGATGCTGATGATGACGATGATGATGGTGACGATGATGGTGATTAGGATGATGATGATTAGGATGATGATGATGATGATGATGATGATGATGATGATGATGATGTGATGATGATGATGATGATGATGATGATGATGATGATGATGATGATGATGATGATGATGATGATGATGATGTGGCTGATGATGATGTGGCTGATGATGATGTGGCTGATGATGGTGCTGATGCTGATGCTGATGCTGATGCTGATGCTGATGATGATGATGATGATGATGATGATGATGATGATGATGATGATGCTGATGATGCTGATGAGGACGAGGGGGAGGGGAGGGGCAGGGGGAGGGGGAGGAGCAGGAAGAGGAGGAGGAGGCGGAGGAAGGAGGAAGGAGGGGGAGGGGGAGGACGAGGACGAGGAATGAGGATGAGGAGCACGGAGAGGAGGAGCAGGAGGCACAGGACGGAGGGCAGCAGCGGGACGACGAGGAGGGCGAAGAGGAGGACGAGGACCAGGGCGAGGGCGCGGAGGGCATCTCCCCTCCCTGGCCCTCCGCCGTGGAGGCCTTCCGCGACCAGCGGGCGGCGAAGGAGGCGCGGCTCGCGGAGCTGGAGGCCAGCAGGGACGAGGCCGAGGCCGACGAGGCGCCCGGGCGGCTGCCCCGTCGCCGTCGTCTTCGCCGTCGCCCGCGCCCTCTCGGAGCACCGTCGGCATCTGGGGCCGCGGCCGTGGGCGCGGCCCGCGTGCCGCGCGCCCGCCCCCCGGGGGGGGGGGGGGGGGGGGGGGGGGGGGCGCGCCGCGCGCCGCTGCTGCCGCGGAGCAGCGCGCGAGGCATCGGCCGAGGAAGCGCAGACGTCGATCGAGGTGCAGGGGCTGGGGGCGGGGCCCCGCGTCTGTGCCAAGCGGGAGCGCTACCCCGTCGCCACAGCGGGCGGCACGGGCGCCGTGCTTTCGGGGCGGCCCTCCAACCCGTGGCACGCCGCACTGCCTCGGCCAGCCCTCCGCCGCCCACAGCGACGGCAGCGGGTGCGTGGCCCTCCCCTGCGAGGCCTCGAGCTTCGCTCGGGAGTCCGCAGCTCGAGGCCCCTGCTGGCCTCCAAAAGTCGAGCTGCGAGCGCCGAGCCATCCGAAGCCGCGAACGACGGCGGCGGCGGGCGCCCTCCCGCGGGGCCAGGACGAGGAAAAGTCTGTCCCAGGGCGTTCCGGGACGCTCTGAGAGCGCTCTGGAGCGCTCTGGGAAGGCCGCGGCGCCCCGAGGCTTCCTGCAGAGCCGCCGGCTCTCGGCGGTTCGACGCATCCTCCGCCGATGTTGTCCTCGTCCTGGCCTCGGCTTGGCTGCCCTCGGCTTCGTCTTGGCTGCCTTCGTCTTGTCCTCGTCCTGGCTTCGTCTTGGCTGCCTTCGTCCTGGCTTCGTCTTGGCTGCCCCCCCCCTCCAATTTTGAAGCGCCTCGGCACTCGCCGCCAGCGCGCCGAGGGGGGCAGAGAAGCCCTGCGCGGGCGAGCAGGGTTGGGCCGGGCCGCGGCCGCGCCCGCCCGCGAGCGCTGCCGCGGCATGCGGCGCGGTCCCCCTCGGACTCGGGGACTGCTCTAGGCCTGCTAGATGGGGTCGGAGTAGATGGGGTCGGAGGATCGCGCCGCATCGCCGATGCATCGACGATGCGGCTCGATGCGGAGCCCGATTCTCTCCACGCCGACGTCGCCGATGCGTCGACGATGCGTCGCCGATGCATTGGCGATGCGGCGCGGTCCTCCGACCCCATCCTACTCGGACCAGGATGCCTCTCACTGCGGCGGCGCCTCCTGCACCGTCTGTACCGTCCTTTTCGGAGCTCGCCCACCCACCTGCAGCGCCGAGCAGAAAGAAGTGGTGCCAAGCGTGCCCCGCCTCGGCTGCCTTGGCTCTCGCTGCAGCGACGGCGCTCGGCCGCTGGGGGGAGGCTCGTTCTTCGGGAGGGCACCAGCTGTATCAGAGATTAGGGGGGGCAAAGACGGTGTAAATGTAAACTGTCGGAGGGCTGCGCGGATTTCCTAGTGCCGCGTTGGACCCGTAGTCGTTTTCGCTTGCTCGGAGGGTACCAATGGTACCAGTTGCACCAGAGGAGCAACGGCGTTGTGTCAGAACTCGCATCGAGATGTCGACGTAGCGTTGCGCCAGTCTAGCTACAGTTGTTCCGACCTGGCGATCCGACAGCATCAAGATGTACATGTACGCATTGCTTCCATCGTACGCGCTCGTATGCTCGTACGCACACACACACATTCCTCTTCCTATATTTTTGCAAGCCGGGGGGGGGGGGACCCCCCCCCCGGCTCGTCCCGGACCTCCCAGGGCACGCAGCCGGGTTTTGCCAGCAGACCCCGAGCGATCAGAGCGGTGATCAGAGAGGCCGAAGGGAGACCCAAGACAGCACAAGAGCGCTCCAGGAAGAACCCAGATAGCCTTCGGAGGCCTCCAAGACGGCCCAGGAGGCCCTCAACAGGACTCCCAGAACGCAGAAATCGGTGCATTCCCGTAGGGTAATGTACATCTTCAGCATCTTCGCTGTTCGGGTCTTAGCAGCGTTCAAAAAAGCCAGAAAGGTCTCCGGTATCGCCCCAAGACGGCCCAAGAGATCCCCAAGAGAGCCTCTAGACGGCCTGGATGGCCCCAAGACTGTCCAAAGAAGCCCCGAATGGGCCAAAACGAGGCCCAGCAGGACCTCACAAGGTCCCCAAGAGAAGCCTAAGAAGGCCATAGGATGCCACCGGGAGGGCCCACGTAGAAGGTCCCTAGAGGGCCCAAGCTCCCCGACACGACCCAAGATGGCCCCAGGACGGCTCGAGAGGGCCCCGAGCCGGCCCACCAGAGCTCCAACAGGGCCCTCACGACGTTTTCCTTCAAATTGGCCCGAATCCCGGGTTTGCAACCACATTTCCCAGAAATCTGTTGTGAACTTAGGATTCGGTGCATTCCCCAATAATTACTTAATTTCGCGCGCCCCGCTGCGACCAGCTGCAACATGACATCCTCGGCTTAGCATTGGTTTGTGCTTGGCGGCATTGCTTGACATTGCGTCGGGTTGCGAGGCATTCAGTCGCATGGTTTGCCATTCCTTCGCATTGCGCACCGGGGCACCTGAGCCACGAGCGGGCCAATGTGCGGGCCTACGAAGGCCTTTCGTCGTCGTTCACTACCAGACATTTCTGCAAGCGTGCACGTACACATGACACCCCCCGACGGCGCCATCTCTTTCCCTCCTCCTGCTCCTCTGGGTCCTCCTCCTCCTCATCCTGCTCCTCCTCCTCCTCCTCCACCTCCTCCTTCTCCTCCGTAGCCATTTTGGCTCAAGCATTCGGGTCAAGTACCCTTGCGTACTATATTCACTTCCTTTCACGTTTTCGACGCAGTCTTTCGCCAATCGAAGCGTCGATGACGTTATCACTCTTACATATTGTTGCGGCCACCTGCGCCTGCAACGTGAGGGAGGTGGCCAGCGTGCACGTGATACCCAGCGGAGGCGACGAGTTGCGGCCGTCGCTTCACTTTCGACCCGAACCTGATTCTGACCTTTCACCTGCACGGACACACGAGCATTCTTCACCGATAACACCAGAAGAGTTGTTCAATGAGTATTTGGACACCTCCTCCTTCTCCTCCTTCTCCTCCTCCTCCTCCTCTCCTTTCTGCCGCTCCACCACTCGCCCTCCCCCACATCCGCTTCCCTTTCCTCGCTCCCCGAGTTCACCTCCCTCCTATCCTTCGCCCTCCACCCAGCGCCTTTCAGGAGCCCCCGGAGGCCCGGGAAGGGCCAGGGACCGCCCGAATTCTCAAAGACTTCCGAAAACCACCGCATGGAAGGGTCCAAATTTCCAATGCCACTAGGGATGGCGCGAACGACCAACCCATGCTAAGCCTCAAGGACCAAGAATCATGGGGCGATGCGCCAATGATATATATATATATATATATATACATATATGTGTATACACACACACACATATATATATATATATATATGTATAAGTGGTAGGGGTGGCTCCTAGGATCTGTGTTGCTAGTTTGTGCAACGGTGATATGGATCGAATTCGATATCTTCCTTCTCGCTGCGAAATTAAGTTGTTGTCAGCTTGGTCTATTGTTTTGCCGCTTTTTCTGTTTTTGTTCTGGCTTGTTGGGTTCTTGCCTGCACAAGGGATCACACTCACGCGCTACCGAATTGTTTTGAACAGTCGATATATTTCAGTTACATTTTTTGTTTTTGCAGTCAAGCGTTTGATTCTCCTTCACGGAAAAAAAACAATAACATTCAAAGAAATCCTTGTTTTTTACTTACAGTCAAACCTTTGATCCTTTTGCCGAAACAGGGCATGCCTGTGAAAAACACCGGGTTCCCGCACTTGTTTCCATGTTGTGTTTCTGCTGTTTCTGTGTGTGTTCAGTTTCTTTTGGTTTTTCCTTTGTTAGTTAGAAGCCAAACCCAACAAGGCAGAAATACCGGGAACAACATTTTCAAACATAGACAAACAACAAAAAACTAAACAACAAAAGTGCGGGAACCCTGTGTTTTCACAGGCTGCCCCTTGTGAAAACACCGGATTCCCGAACTTCTTTGTTGTTTCCCGTTGTGTTATGGTTGTTATGTTTTTTGTTTGTTCTGCATTGTTGGGCTGTTGGTTCCCAGCCAACCCCGAAAAAAACAGACAAGCGGACAATAACAGATGTTCGTCATAAGCGACGCTCCCGAAGGGCTACAAGAGGAATCTTTCGTTAAATACAAGTTGAGTTGCGCCTCGGCAGCCATGCCATTGCTCAGCGAATTGCTACTCGCGTCTGGTCGCGCCGCCCTACATGAAGAGCTGCCGCCTGCACTCGCACCAGAAGTTGTTGGCTCCTGCTTGTACCGCGCAGTCCAGCACCTGGAGGCTGCCCCCAAACAAGCCTGGCCGCCGTGCGACGGCCCCCATAGCGTCCGCAGTTTCAATGACCATTGGGGGTATAATTCTCAAAGGGGGCCGTCAGTATTATGGCTTCAGGAATGTGGTATGACATTCGATGACGTTGTTCGCGCGCACTCCAAAGTCGTTCGGTGGCAACCGCATTCAGAAGGATGGGGACTTCGTTGACATCTACGATGCCGCCATCGGATCGGTTGTTCGGGCGCCGATTCATCACTTCGTGCCGACTGCGTCGAGATTGGGGGGCTTGTATCCTTTATCACGCCAACTGGTCCGATGTTTCTGATACCCCCGCAATGGAGGGCGCAGCCTACGATGTCGAAGGGCCCCGTCGTGGACGTCTGAACTTCTGCAAGAGGAAGACTGGTCATGATGGTCAAATGAGGAGACATTCCCAGCGGCCTGCGTCTTGTTGTCCCGCGCCCAAGCGAGGGAAACGGCGCATGTATGCGCGCCCCGAGAAGCTTGACAAAAAGACGTGTTCTGCTCTGCGGAAGAAGACCCCTTACGTCAGATACGGTATCAAACAGCATGCGAACCGCGGCGGAAAAAAAACTTGGGCATGTGGAGAAAGTCGATGCCATGACGGAGCACCAGCTCATAAAGAATTTGACCAAGGGTGGCTTCTTGACCGATTGGACTAAGCAGTTTTGCCCGCACAGTGAAAAGTACAGCGTTGGGGAATTGCAGAAGCGTTCAGAAGTTCAGA